ACAAGAAAATGTGAATAGATTCAGATGGGTGCAAAGAACCTGCACATAGCAGTTAGGTTGGAATTTGCTTTAAGACATGAAGTGAGGAAGACTGGACTCCCTTCAGGTCAGATTATCCAGTGTTAGCAAAAAAAGCCTGCAGTACTCCTAGTTTTTCAAGCTCAGCTATTTCAGTGTTAGGGATTGAGAGGATAGTGGCTTATCCTGTGCTTTCAGTGTTCCTTTAATTCTCCTGTGAAGAGTATTTTCCATACTTTATTACTATTATAAGGTTTAGTAGATGAAACAGTGCCAGCCCTGCTCAGAGAGGGTTGGGCTGGCACTCCAGGTAGCAGCAGACTTAGATCTTGCTCCATGTAGTAGTGCTGGCAGTTTTACTTAACACACTTCAGGTATCAGGTACTAGTTGGAACTTAGTACTTTTACCACGTGGAAACTAAAATTGTGAATATCCACATTTGCGAGGTACCGCCGGGTCAGGTACCTTTGCATCTGCTTTTGGAGGGGCTGTAGATTCTGCAGGATATTTACTTACATATTAGAAAATAAAGCTTAATCCTTGAATTCAGGTACTTCCAGAGGTGGCAAGGCCGTGTCAGTTTGTTCAGAACACACATAAAAGCAGCTGAAATGACTGTGAAGGGCCATGAGAGGCCCCAGCTGCTGCCCTGGAGAGCTGAGGGCGGCTCAGAAGAGTTTTCTGCCTTCAGGCTTTAGCTGGATGTTGAACAAGGGCAGTTTGCCAGTGGTGGGTTCTTCTGTTGTTGTTCTTGTGGTGGTTTTGTTTTTTATTTTAACTCAGCACAAGCCTCGCTGTCCAAATTGCAAATGAGGTACTTGGAGCCACCTCTTGCAGCCGCACCTTGTGAACGGGGCAGGAGCCAAGAGTCTCAGGGCAAGAGACCCAGCACTGAAGGAACAAAGTACTCAAGAAGTGGAAGAGGCTTGAACTAAAGGGTGCAAATCCCCTTCTTCCACAGCAGAGTTCAGCTGGATGGAAAACTTGACACTTGCTGTACAATTTGCACCTCTAGCTCTTGGAGCCCTGCAAGCAACAGAGTGTTAACGGCTTAGAAACCCGACCCTGAACGTTGTTTTCCTAAGCTAGTACAGTCACTTACCTCAACTAAGACTTATGTGTCAAGTGAAATTTGAATTTTTTTTTAAATAAAGTTTTATCCCTTAACCGTGTCTGGTCTAGGAAGTTATTTATTGGGGCATAAAGCTGAGCATCACGGTGTTCTAACAATAGAAGAACATGTTTTCTAGAGCACCGCACCCATCTTTAAGAGCTTCTCTCCATTCATTTTTTTTTTCCATTTTTTTCATCTTCTGTCCCTCAGGAGTCCTGAACACTTTCTTTCCACATTTCTCACCTGCGCACTTCCCTTTATTTCCAGCCAAAGTTCAGATTCTGACTGACATTTCTTACAAAAATAATTTTCCCCTTCTTTTTATAAAATTTGTTACAGCATCTATAAAGTCCTTCCCTGAATATTCCATCAAAGCTGATCTGTCCCTTCTCCATTTTACTGTTTCCATCCCTTCCTGGTGCATTCACTGGTGCAGCTCTTACCCAGCAGCAGTTTTTGGCCAGAGTTACTGAGGGAGCAGCAGAGATACTTAATCACCTTCAAATAAAGTCCACGTTGGACTAACACACAGATTTACTTCATTCCCTTAGTTCTGCTTTACCTGGAGCCTGTTCCAGTTATTTGGTCCCTTTTAAAGGAAAAGTAACTTGTGAAAGCAGTAAGGAAAGTTGCTGACTTGGCAGCTCTCCCTCACAAACACATCGCTCACATGAATTTTCCCCATGACGAGGGGCCGGGTGTTTCTCCTCAGGAGTTGCAGCTTCACTCTCAAATCAAGCAGCCTAAAGCAGGAAAGAGTCAGGGAAGGGCTTACCTACTCCAAAGCCTGTGTTTTCCTCGATGTGAAAGCAGTGTCAGATCTGTAACGGGGTCTGGTCCCACGGGAACACCTCCACCCAAGCACTGCTCCATGATGGCACCAAATTTCTGTGAATTAAGAAATACTTAACTTGGAACAGCATTGTCAAAATTGCCCTCGCAGAATGGCTGCTGTATTGCCAAAGGTGAAATCAGACTGCTGGTTTGGGGGTTTGGTTTTGTTGGTTAGGTAAATAATCAGAACACCTCAAATTGTTGGCAACTGCTTCATTCCAAGCAGGGAATCCTTACCCCACCCCCAAAACTCAAGGACTACGTTCAAGACACACTCCAAGCACTGTACACTGAAGGTGAACAACTCCAATCCATCTAACACCTCTGAATACAGTTTTTAATGCACTGAATTAAATATTCAAATCAGGTTAGGTTCCAGCTCAGGGTTCACAGAGCCTTTGTGATCAGCAAATACAAAACATCAGTAAAACCTGCCATGGACACACCAAAGGCCAGATGAGAACCTTGACAACGTGAGAGATGGGAGTGTACCAGCCTACAGCAGCCTCATCCTGCACTGAATTATTCCCAACATAGGAGAAGGTTTCCAGGTCTGCCATTCCACAGTCACCACTTGGCCAAGCAATGCAATTCCCACCTTGTTTTGTCCCACAGTACCTGGAGAATCCGTCCTCTGCCGTCCCACAGAGGGGAGATTTTAAGCCAACACCAATTCAAACTTCGCTCCATATAAACTATTTTATAAAATGTTTGAAACATTAACCACTTGCACGTAAAAATTACCCAAGTCTTGGTTCTGTAACTGCCATCCCAAGGGATGTGTTTCACTTGCAGTTCTATAAATCACAGTTCTAAACAGTAAAGCACAACTTAAAGATCCACCTCGGGTATTCAGCTCTATCCCAAGAAAGGAGAATGAAAGTTGTTATAATCTGGCTAAAAACCTGGAAATTTATGGAGGTACCTTAAATATAGCTGGAACAATCTGGCAAAGAACATGTATCCAAATCTTAGAAGTCATGCAGAACAAAGTTTGTGCAGGTGCTGCTCGAGGCCTCTGCACAGAATGACTGGACACCCATCATGGCAGGTTTCATATTACTGAACTTTATGTACAAAAGCTGATTTCAAATAAAACATTTAATGAAAAACAATGGTTCATTTAAACAACTGAACTTGTTTTGGTTGTTTTTTTTGTTTGTTTGTTTGGGGTTTGGTTTTGTTTTTACATCTACTGTACCGTTCAAATTCTTTTTAACCAGCTTAACATGGCATCTGCAAAGGTACATATAGAAAAGGCATCTTTATAAATAGAAAACAAGGGGATTTTTTCAGCTTTTATTATAAATTGACATGACATACAAAGTTTACTGAACAGAAGTAATTTCATTACTATTTTTGGGGGGATCACCAACTTTTTGTGCAAACAATGCTAGCCTTCTTTTAAGCATTAAGAGCATAACTGCTTAAGAAATGACATAAGCAATAATTCTAGAACTACATCTCCCCTAAAATAATCTATTTTTTTACATATGTGCACAGCTTTAGCAAATTAAAGCCAGAGAGAAATGCATGATGTACTATCCAGAGGCGTAATTAGAGTTTGCTAAAACTCAGAGAGCTGGCAAATTCAAGAAGTTTGTAATGAAAGCTGCAGTTTCCCTCTTTCCTATTTTGTACACAAAATCAGTGACTAAGAACTTAATACTGGATGACAAATCACATCCACACCATTAGTTAAATAGTCTCACAGTTAAACACATCTTAAGGACCATCAAAATCAGTATTTACATTTTATAAATTTCTGAAGACACCATTAGAAAGCTTATATACCCCTTCAACAAATAGGGAACTGCATCTCATGGTGATGGAATGAAATAAAAAAACAAAAAAAAAAACCAAACAAACCTGTATTTACAGCAGCATTGTTTCCTTTATAAATAAAGAATATGAAAAATGAAATATTTTAAGGATAATAAAAAATTGAGGTGATGTCACTCAACCACAGTGCTTGCTGGAATAAACCCTTCGGTGCTGATACTGTACCAGTAGTGAAACCACTTTCCATTGGAAAAAATCTGTAAACGTATGCATAAAATGTGTTAACAGCAGTGCAAAACTGCTCAAATATAGTCTAGTCAGCATCTTAGTATCTGTATTGAATACAATACATCACAGAATACTTACATAAGAAGTGCAACACATTTTCTGGTCCAATTTTACAGTGCATTTTTCCCTCAAGAGTGGCATCTCGAAAGCCAAAGCTAAACCCACGGCCCGGCCTTGCAGTCTGTCCTCAGGCAAGAACTTCCCGGGAAGTTGGCGACGGAATGCCTGCAGAGGGACAGGAGCCTCCGGCCTTAGCATGGCACACCAGGATGTGCAACCCCCAGGCAAGAGGGGTTCCATCAGATCCTTGCTGTAGCTGTGTAAATGTGTAATTAAAAACTAGAAAGGAGCTAATGTTCAAGTTTAAAAATGGTACACTGGGCGATCGATACATCGGAATTATCCACGAAACCCAAACTGCTGGGAACCTCAAAAAAGCCAAGGTGGGACTTCACTGTGTCTGCAACGTGAAAAGCCAAGATCTTTCCAAACAGGCACAAGACAAAGGAAGTGCTAAGTTCGCCGACTTGGAGAATTTTTAGTGTAAAAAACAAAAAAAATTAATTGGTAATTTATGGTCGATTGATAAATGATTTCAAATACAAGGATCAAGGTTAAACTGTAAATAGTAAGATGTTATTTTCACAAAAAGCTAACTGGAGAATTTCTAAATCAGAAAAGCAGAAACTGTATCCCAATCCCCTTTCCCTAATGTTTCACAACTTCATGGTAGGAAAAACAGCCAGATACAGATGCAAAAATCTTAATATAAAAACGGTTTTACATATACTTAAATTATGTAAATTCCATAAAGTTCTTAAGACACTAATTACTAAAATTACAAAAAGATTTTCATATTGCTCTTCATGCTCAAACTCTTAGAATATTGTCATTACATCACCAAAACCAATATACACGTAGTACTTGCATAAGTAACTGAATAAAAACCCTGTTTAAACAATATCCTTGTTGAAATCATTTATTTCCATCCAGCAGTGCCTGTTTGGAACCTCTGTACTTCTGTGTGTAATTCTTTATGGAGCTCATGCACCCTTAGAATGTCACTTCAATGCTTTGTCCGTTGAATGACAGATTTTTTTGACTTCAGAGCTTCTGTTTCTTGCTCTGTTTCGTGACACCTGAGATGCTTTCCACTTCTGAAATCCTCTCGCGCGCGGTATTTTCACTGTATCCATTTGCTGTCCCACTCTGTTCCTCAGAAGATTCCTCGTCCGTCGGGGAGGCCGATTCTCCCTTCTCCAGCTTCTGCTGCATCTCTCGGAGCCTGGCCACAGCTTTGTCTATGGACATGATGCTGATGAGGTTAAAGTCATGCATGCTGACCAGGTGGAGCATAAAGTTTCGACACAAGTTCTTCTTGATGATTTTCTGTCCATAGTTTTCCACAAACAGCATACAGGCATGATTCATTTGATTGTCAGCAATAAACCTGCCAAATGAAAAAGCTGTCACTATGCAGGTAGGACATTTTCAAAGACAAGAAGATTCTCTATGTGATTTATTACACAACATCTCCAGTGTTTTTTTCTCTTCAAAGCTCAAGGGTTACTAGGCACAAGAACTTTAAAAGCTTAAACTCTCAAAAGCTTGTTACCAAATTATCCTCTAACGATCCTTTCCTAAACACCTGGGCTAACTGCATTTTAAGTATTTAGTGAACTGCAATGCAAAATGATCAACCCCATCTGTAATTTATTTGCATCAAAACTAAGCACAGTAACATACCCGTGCTTCATAACATGAAGATTCCATAATTTCATCACTTCTTTCTCTCCTTCGTTAACGTCAGAAAATTCTTCGATTTGCTGGAGGGAGAAAGGATTGGGAGGAAGGACAGGAAAAGAAACAAACACACCCATCAGAACTGCGTGTCTGCTGCCAGGCAGTGAGAGCATACCCAAAATTCAACTTATGCACAGAAATATATAGAAAACTCAGGCTCTGCAGTTAAAAAAGTTAGAAAAATGTAATCTCATGTAGAGACTTGGGATGATAAATTATATCCTTATCACATACACCCTGCACTGGGTACTCCTGATTCCAGCTTCTCCTCTCTGAAGGAGAAAACCAGCCCCAATGAAAACTTGTTTGAACACATGGGGACTGAACTGGCTTTACAACTGAAGGCATTCTTGAAAAAAAAAACCCCACCTTTGATTCCATGAATTTCCCTCTGCAGTTGCTCAGCAAAATATTCTGCTCTTAAAATGCATCATTTTCAAAACATATGCCTGACTGCCCCCTGAAACAACTGCAGCTCATCTTTCAAAAACCACAATCCACTTCGAACAATTCTGTGTAAGTGGGATAATTACAGTGATGGTTTTCTCCCGCAGCCACTCCGGGTCCTTTTCATCCTCACTGTCCACTTCCATCTCCTGGGGGCGGAGGGGCAGACACGTGTCACTGTGGAAGTACAGCCGGTTGTGCCCGCTGCTGTAGGTCCTCTGCTGCTCCACCTCCCCATCCTCAGACTCCAGGAATTCTGACATACTTGCTTTCGTACGCTTTGGCCTGGCAGGAGGGAAGGAAAAGATGCAAACACTGAGCAGTTGGTTCATACAAATTATTTTAAGCTCTAGCCTGCAAAAATGTTGGCGGGGGGGAAATCTCCAGCAGTGAAATAAACCCCATTAGAAAACCAACTTCTCCTTTTGGGGAAGAAAAGGTTTAGGATAAGGCAGTTAAGAAGAGTTACATCATTATGATTAGACATCTCAACTGAAAAGATGTAGGAAAATCACAGGTGAAGTTACCACGTCCTTCAGTCACAATAGTGACGAATTGCACTGTTTATTTGCACCTACACATTTACAGCTCTCCAGGTGTCACAAATCTGCTCTCTAGGCCATAGTGCATAAACAGACCTTGTCTCCCAGCCCTACCTGCAAACCAGGATGTGTGTGATGGGGGTTCTCTTGACCGGCCCGTTGCGGCTGAAGGCGAAGCCCGGCTGGCGATGGATGTCCTGGGGGTTCCCCGCGTAGGAGCCGTCGTAGCACTCGTTGATGGACACGTCTATCCGAGCACCTTTGGGATGATACTGGGACAGAAGTGCAAATATTCTCAGCAGACAGCAATGACAGCACATCAAGTAACCTTTTAAATTCGGAACACCCTAAATATCACCTATCAATAACCTGAAAGGGCTCCAGTTTCCTTTTACAGCACCCGAATGATTTTTAACCTCCAGAAACAAATTATACTAAAGCTCCCTTGCTCTGTACTATTTAACTGTTTTATATAAAACCACTCAGAACTAACTATAAAATGAAGGAAAATATCAGCTAACGAGAACCCTAGAAATTAGAACATTTCTAAATTTCCCAAAGCTTCAAGGGACTTCCAACCAAATGTAGATTTCGTTGTTTTCTACATCACAGAAAAGAGCACACTGATGCAAAAGCAGCAGCTGCAGTCAGAGTTCTTCCTCTAGTGATTAGAATTATTTTATATATATAAATAAAAAAAAAGAAAAAGAAAATCAACCCCACTTTTTTTCCCTCTGTAACACACATTAGTTCGTGTAACACCCAAAGGAAGTGGCTTCTAACCTGCAGGTACAGCACTACCATGTCACAGGTTAGCAGCAGAATCCCTGCCCATGGGATCTGTGACAGCCTGTACAGTGCTTCCCAGTGCTGAGCTACTACAAAATTACTTACAACATAATTAAAGATAAATCTGCTGTGGCAGAGTTTCAGGTGTTTGAGTAAACTATAGAGCTTCCGACAGTTCAAGGTGCACCAGGGGCAGTGCAAGTCGTCTCTGGCCTCAGTCTGCTGCCTCGTGTTGTTGTTATACAGGAACTGAGGGAACAAAGGAACAGGCAGGGCAGGATTAGTTTCATCCATTCCCTTCCCAAACCAAGTGGGAAATCGTTTCAGGAGACCTCGACAGCAAGAGGAACGTTTGGGAACACTCCACCCACTCGGTGTACTCAAACAGTGGTATTTGAGGAATTTTTTTCCCCACAGGAAGACCACCTGTCCCCTCCAGATGTCTAACAAGAGATGCCCTTTGTCTTTCAGAACATCAGATGTGCCCCCAGGAAGGTTAGTTTGCTAAAATGCTTCCTGTAAAAAGTAGTATGTGGAATGGCTTTTAGTCTATGAATTTGAGACCCTTAAGGCATCCACTAAAGAGGCAAATGGGAATTTCCACCCAGCTTGAAAAGGAACATTTTAATTCCACACAATACTTAAGATTCTAGTTTTTCCCTCTAATTATTTTCAATACCTGGTAAAATATTCGCAACTTCTGTCGAGGTTCATTTAAAACATCTCTCTCTTTTCTTGTTTGAAGGTCTGTGGGCAAGGATTCTTTCACAGCTGAGAAAAAAGCACATGTAAATACAGATTTCTCTGGTGCAGAGGAACAGCCAGACATTGTTTCTTCCCCGAGTATGGAAGTTCTGAGAAGGGCACTGCTGCTGAAGGAAATGTGCTACTTGAGGGTACTCAACAGGTACTGCAACACAACTGCACAGAAAGTGTTGGATGCTTATTTTTGCTTTTCCCTGTGGAGAATTCCCTGAAGCAGTTGCACCAGTGAGGCAGGAACCCCTCAGCACAGAGGGGCCAAGCAGATGATTATTCAGCAGCAAACCCAAAGTTTGCTTACCTATAGTCTGAGTAGGTTTAACAGAGTTAGGCTTGTTTTCTTGAGGGAGGCTCTCAGAATTTCGTGTTGCAAGAGGCTTGGCTATAGGAGCTGTAGACTTGTCGTTTGTGTCTCCTGTCCAACGAAGAGTAAACTGAAGTGTAGGTCCCTGAGAAAATGTTTCAAATGGAGGCAACCTCTGGGGGTGGAAATCAAAAACAAAACAGCAGAATTAGTGTCTTTCCACATACAAAATCAATCAGGAGAAGATATTCACAGAATGGAAGCAGATCTATTTTTTTAAATCCACATAAAGGCTAACAGGATAATAGAGCTTATAACTATATTTTTACTATATAATTTGGTTCATCTCTGCTTTTTTCATAATTATAATAATCATGTTGAAACACAAATACTTTGCAACCTGGAATCTTCATGTTCTTCTCTTCAGTCACAACTGATACTCTCCCAGGACACGGGAGCATTTCACATGTGTACAGTCACCTGCATTCACTGTATCAGTGAGTTTTGATTCACCTCAGCCAACTATTTCTCTCTGCTCAACACTGTCTCCTACACTGATACACCTCCTTTGCATCACTAAATTTTATGAGCATTCTCCTCAGGTATGTAAGATCACACCTATGAAAGCTCTGGGTTCCTCTTTCTTTCCCTAAAATATTCTGCCTCTGCAGTTTGTTCTGTTTTGATTTGTCCTCCTTGTTACCATAACAAACATTTAAACTGTTTGCTTTAATAAGACAGAAATTCACAAGTCATTGAAAGAGAATTATTTCCTGTTCAGTTCAATCCATTTTCAGAGGAACAGCCACTGACTGCACTTCCAGCTGAGCTCCACCTTAATGCAGATCATCTGAAGACAGTTCTCTCAGCCACTCAAACAATCCATACCTTCCCATCAAGTATTGTTTCCCACGTTGCTCTTTTCTTGCTAATGGGACACTCTTCCATTTCCTGCATGGCCACTTCATATTCCCCATCCAGAAGTTGCAAACGTCTGTCAGGACAAAGTATGTGTAAACCAGCTCATTTTTATTGTTTGCCTCTTCAAATGTACTATGTAACAGTAACTAAGTCTCCATGAACCTAAAGGCAGATTTTCAGGCAAATTTATTTGACAACTAGGTGTGAATCTTGACAAACGTCACCCACAACAAAGAAAAATGTTAATGATTATAAAAAAAAAAAGAAAGTAAGTTTTCATGCATGATTTGGTTCTGCTGCAGATCAGACATTCTCATTTATACAGTGCATGGCTGAGAATGTCCTTGCTTATGTCTCATCACCACAAAACCACCTCACGGTTCATATCATGTTCAGCATATTAAAGTTCTCCAGTGGAATTAGGTAAGAGAAAAGGACAAAACATTGTCAAGACTTCTAAGATTACACAGATTAAAGAAAGAAATTTCTTAAAAAAAAACTCTTCTCAAAATATACAACTTCCAAAACCATATTTGAATAAATACCCAATTTTTCAAATCCCTTTTAAGCAGCTTTTTCTTAAAGCTCTATTTTTATTGATAAAGAAATCATGTACCTATCTCTACCTGGGACCTGCATTTGCCATGGATAGAACTCTTATTTTCATATACTGTACACAGTCACTGAACAGGTCTCAGTGTAAAATGTGCATTATGAAACCTGTAATTTTTTTTTTTTAAAAACACAACAAGCCTAAGCTCTTATTGTAAATACCAACTAAAATGCAGCCAAAGACATCCTACACTGTAATTAAAAAACATATTAAGTTTATTATTAAACAAATTTCCAACGATTAACAGAAACAATATTTATTTTGAATAACATTACCTGTTTTTATCAAACACAGTCATTTGTGCTACAAATGTCTTTTCCCCATCTTCACGGTTTGAAGAGTTCCTTTTTCTTCTGGCTGGGAGCTCCTCATTGACATCTGCACACAAGAAATATGGGATTCAACCATTGTATAAGCACAGATTTAAAAGATCAAACAGTCTCTATGCAACTGCAAACTATAACTGGCTGTTCATTGGGTCAGGTGTGTCATACAACAGAAAAGGACAATGCAATGGAAAGGGCACTTAGCTTAAAAGTAATCATATTTTAGGTATGTTCTCATGTATTTATAGTTTCATCACATTATTCTGTCAGCATAAAGAATTTGGGATTTCATCTTCCTCCTCTTGTGGCTATAAAATAGTGAGAAATAAAGTTTTTCATTCTACATGCACTCTCTCCAAGGCTGTAACATTTGTGATGTAACATGTCTTAAGAAGATTAAGAAAACAGCTTTTAAAAATTTGTTACTTAGATATTTTATCGACTGGCTTTTTTTTTTGCTGAGAGACACTGACAGAAGCTACAGCTGGGTCAGCAGTGACCAGGGCTGGTGGAGGATTAATGATCCTCCCAGTGACCACAGGGCCCTCTTGCAACATTCAGCTTCACCATCACATTAATAACGAGTGGCGTTAAATCTACGCAAAAACAGAAGCACAATTTCCAGTTCCCAGCTGAATTCCAACCCCATCCCAAAAGAGACTGCAAACAAAGGGAAGCCCAATCAGTCACTGAGCTACTGCTGGCCCTTGTCAGTGTGCCCTCCACTGCACATGGAGCCAGCTCTGCCTGTGCTGCAGACAGCCCCTGTGAAGCAGATCTGAAGGCTGAAGTTACCAATGTTCTCGTTCGTCTCCCCGTTGATGAGCCCGTTGAACTCCCTCCTGCCCGGGCGAGTGACTCGGAATAACAGCGAGTAGGACTTCACCATGTGGCTGTTGCTGGGCTCAAACTCATTGCTGGAAACTGCCAGTGAGGGGAAGTTGCCTGGTTTGATTTGGCTGAGGTCTGGGTTTAAAGGCACCTGCTTTTTACCTGTAGGAACCTGTCTTATGGGACAACTGACATCCTGCAGCAAAACAAGAAACAGAGCAATTGGGTCTTTAGACTGTAAAGACATCAAGTGTTAAAATTTGTATCATTTGTGAATTGTACTTGTTCTGCCAACTTTTTGAAAATAAGCCTTGTAACAGATACAAATCAAAAAAATCTGGCACGATCCCAGGTTGTAAATGCAAAACCAGATATTGGTTAAGTGTAAATAAAACTGGCATTCTACAAGCCCTTCTGGCAGCAGCCATCTTTCTCTAAGTGATTAAATTAACACTAACACGAGGCACTTAGAAAGATTGTAGAACAGCCATTAATACTAATTTAATTCTGTTTACTTAAAGAAATTAAATGTTTTGGTTATATATATACATTTCAAGGGCTTCCTGTCTACTCCTTGCAATATTACAAAGTGCACTTTGTGCTATCTGTGAGATAAAGAACCACTTACCTAGGATTTATTATATTCAGTACCTCTCAAACAGATCACTGAACATTGTGTAGTATTGGGAAAACAAGGCAAGATGGCCTAAATATGAAACTTGCAGCAAAACATTTGGGAAAACCATCAGCACCTCCTGATTTCACCATATTTATCCACACTGTAGCAATTAACAAAATTGGCTAGAAACAATATTAACTCTTAAAAACATGTCAAAACAGCTTAAGAGTCTTGGGGAAAATACACATAGTTCTGTCTGCAAATCTTTCCTTTCTGGTTAAAAATCACAGCATTCATTACTGAGCCTCCCATATTCCCAGAGCTGTGAAGATGATTTGCCAACTGGTGTGAAACAAACACAGATAAAACTGCAAGCAAATTCAAAGATGCTTTAAAAACAAAATAGAAAATTGTTTATGATTCACAGCAGATAAAATCTGCAATAATCAAAGTGATCAGAGTAAAAAGCACAGGTACAGAAAAGGCAAAAATCCAACAGAAAACAACTTGAATAGATCAGTTATTGAATTTAAAGACTAATTTCAACAGAGGCATCACTGTATGGTGATGTTAATCAGATAGTCCAGAAGCAGGTAAACATTTTGCTTTAACACATATTAATAGTTTGTCAAATGATATTTACCTTTCGTTTCTTGTGGCAAACTTTCACCAGCAGAACTTCCAGGGTCACAGAATTTTGTTCATTCTCTGAGTTTTGTGATGGCTTATCTGAACAGAAAAACATCTTAAGTTCTGAGCAAGTGAAGGTCCATTCAGTGCCATAAATCCATCTGTGATTACTTTTTAACCACCAGCACCTCCAGACACAAAGACCACCAGCCAAATTCTAAGTTTCAATTCTCCCCAAACCTACTGCAAATTCCCACTTGAGAACATCTCCTACCTCTTCTCATCCTAGAGATTAAAAACCATAATTTATCTCTAATGTTTAAAAGAACAAGTTCACTACCTTGTTATGACAGAGGAAAAGGTTATGGGTGGATTAAGGACAGTCAGAACACACTAATTACACGAGCCAAGTTATTTTCTCCATTTTTTTTTCTTTACACCTTGCACACCTAGAATTGGGTTTGCATCAAAACTTAAGACCCAGAAGCTATCAGATAAGAAAACAAAACAAAATTGAAAAAAGACAACCTTAAGCATTATGCAAGTTTAAATATATGCACAATATGCTAAAGGACTCTGGAAAGAACCTGAAAAAAGTCTTGGAAAATAAGACTTGGCTTCAGATAAATCTCCTAGAGCCTGGAATCTCCAAGGCAGCTGCTGCCAGCAGTGTGATCAGCAATGCCAAACCAAAAGTTAAAAATAACATTTTATTTTAATGGACAAACAGATCATTTTTTTTCTCAGGAGAGTAAAAAGGCAGTGAATTTATCCAAGGCTACCCAGCCCAGAGCACATCACTTGTGCTTTCCTCAGAGGAACACAACTCTGGGTCCTGGTCTGTGTAGACCAATACTCCAATTTCGAGAGATAAATCCTTTTGTGCTCAAAAGACACCATGGAAAAACTGAAAGTCACTAAAATATGATTTCCATGGCTTGTCTAATGGCTGACACAGCCTTTGCCTCATTTCTAGACCCAACGTGATAAAATTTATTCTTACGCTTCTGTTTGAAATTAGAAACCACTGAATCTTCAAATTATTTGAAGGCTGTGGGTTTTTTTAAAGCTACTTCAAACATCAAAGACACACTCCCAGAAAATCACTTTCTTCAGGAACTCCTCGAGGTCTATTTGGGTTTGAATGGATGATGACTTGAAGTATTTCTCAAAATCACTGTTTTGACTAAAACCCGAGGCTGCTTAACATCACAAATACACCACAACATTTTTACAGCACTACTGATTTGTAACTAACGGGACAGGCTGAGCTTAAATAAGTTAAAATCCAAACAGCAGAGATTAAAAACACTCAAATATTCCCCTCACAGTTCTCTGCTGACTTCAGAGGTGTTATACAAATTAACAGTGTAATGAAAGAATTGGCAAACATACCATTTTTATGGAAGAACCCAGTAAATGTAAGTTGCAAATGAGCAGACAAGCTAAACAGAAAAAAAAAAAAAAGAAAGGAAATGTTAGAAGAACAAATGTTTTCTTCTCCCAGCAGCCACTTCACTCCATGCTCTGATGGTCAGGACAGGCCTGCACAGCAGGAGTCAGTCCATCCTTCTAACTTGGAACTGCCTGGGCACAGCAGCTGCAGCTGGTGCAGAGTGGTACCAGTCTCTCTTTTCAGACTGATTCTCTCTGTGCACCCCATGACTTGATACATTAAAAAGAAAAGTTTAAACACCACAGCAGAAGGACATTGCCTGGAGACAGGAGATCTTGCCTTCTCAGGCAGGCAAACCCATTTGCCAGACATTCATCAGCGACAGAGATCAGTTTTGGTGGAAATTTTCCAGAACTTCACCCTGAACCATGGACTTGGTGTAGATTTTTTTTTTAAACCAAGTATTTTAAGTTTGGTAATGAGAATCTTTACAGGGGGAACATATAGCCTTAGAAGGAAACACTGCCAGTCACATCAAGTCCTTATCATCCATAATATATGTGATTAAAATAATAATACAACAACATAAACCCTAAAGTCTAAAACTTCATGGTATTTCCCCAAATCTGCCTCCTTTCTTACCTTTAATTCCAACACACACAGATTAGTTACTGACACAACTGGCAGTGTTGGAAGCAAAGTTAAGGTAAATACCTATTTGAGGTTTCTATAAACATTTTAAGAGATGCCACAACAAATGCGGAAAGTTTATCCCGACACTGCTTTTCTCCAAGTTAAGTGACCAGGATACATACACACATTTTAGGATCCTGGAAGCAACATTTCAAGCAGTAAGTACTTTGCTTCTAACAGTGACTCTCACTTTCACCTTATTAATCAAAAATATTTTTGATTTAGCACACACATGTGCTCATTTGTACCCCCCCCCACCAAATATAAGGCAGGACTGTACCTGTGAGATTCTTGTTCTCCCTTCATTTTCTCTACTTTTGATAACATGTCATCTACTTTGAATGTTTTCCTGTGAAGAAAGAGCAGAAAGAATGGTTTTACACAGCCACTATACCCCTAACATATAACAACAAAATTTATTCAGCCTGAACTTTGACTTGTTTTTCATCTAAAACTGTCTATATACATAATTTTAGCCTGCTCTTCAGAAAGCACCCTTTATATCTTATATCACACCCATGTTGTAGGGACACAACTGCTTCTCAAGCAGCAGCAAAAGAATGCAAAGAATTAAAACCAGACCTTTCAGCAATAATCCCACTGCTCATAAGAAGTTTCATTTAACAGCACCATACTGAAACCCTGCAATGAACACGCAGGGTTCATTTCACCTTTCATTTTCATTTCAGCTTTGTCAAAGAAAGTTCCTGCTTTAGTGACACTTGTACCTACTAGGAATGGATGTGTCAACTCTTCAACCATTTATATTTTAGTCATGATCACAATAATGAAAAACACTTAAAAGCTTATAGGACATAAGAGTTAAAAACCTAAATAAAAAACCAAACCCTTATTTCTCCACACATTTCTATTACATGGAAAAGAGCAATGAATTCTGAGGCTACTTTTAGAGCACTCACAGGAAATGTGGGACAATGACAACAGTGTCACAGATAATAATCCCTTCAAATCATTCCTCTCTGGAATTCTGACATCAGGCTGTTCATGCTCATATGTTCAGCCTGTCCTGCCATACATATAATTTAATGGTCATTGCTAAATGGAGCTCACTCATGAACAGAAGTTATTCAACACTCTACAGAACAGTCTTTCCATTTTTCTTTAAAGGAAAGTTAAACTTGGACAGAGATGCCCACAAAACTGGCCTAGAGAGAAGTGACAACTCAAGTGTGAGGGCACCTTATACCTTAGCAAAATGGAATAAGAACATCAGCTGTGGCCAAACACTGGATTACTTGTGGAGGGAAGAACAAGGAGGAGCTCTGGGGAGCGGGAAGCATTTGTCCCCAGAAATATCCTGCCCGGATGACCCCTGATGTCACTCAGTGCCCACAGTCAGCGCGGAACGCTCGGGAGTGACTGAGTTACAAATCACGGGGTGACTCAACAGTGACACTGGACAACAAACCCTGCACAAGCACAGGGCTGCAAAGAAATTATTATTGTATAGCAAACAATCACTGATTCAAAGGTCTACTCAGCACAAGACTCACACATATGACAGACTCAAGAACTGACTCACCTACACTAAAATGTGGGATTATTGCAAGGAACGTTGCAATGCTCAGCTTTAAAGCAAGGGATGTTAAGAACAGAGCAGGTTGTTAAAAATTTCAGATTCTAAGGTCAAAAAGCCTCTGTGTGCACTTTGCTCCAGCTCATGAAAATCAGCCAGAACAGAAGCAGGGCACTGATCTTCAGAGGGCTTCCTTCAGACTGAAGAACTGCTTAAAACAGCTTCAGAGCAAAGTTATGTCATGATTGGAGTATGAGCCAGAAGCCAGCTAAGAGACAAACATGATTCAGGGATGGGGAAAAGTTAATAATCTTTCATAAAACATACTAATATCTGACACAACTGGCATCTAATATGTGAGCATATTATGATCCAAAAAAAACCCCAGTGGTGCGACCTTTGCTAAATCCAGGCTCAGATTAGTCAAAACAACAGAGTCCTCCAAAAAAAAAATCTTTCAGAGAAACTAAAAATAGCAAACAAGAAACTCATTAAATCAAAATTGTTGCCTTTGAAGTTAACTTGTAAGAGTAGAAATTCCTCTAAACTGGATTACTATTTTTGTTACCACATTCCCATGCAAAACAGACAAAATTAAGTGTTTGTAATACCCATCCCTAACACCTGGGATTTTCAGGACAGCGTTTCCTGGTGTAACAAGTACATGCATCTTGTGCATTCCTTTCTCCACCCACTCCTATTCCAGTCAAGAAAAGTAATAATTAGCAAAGCATTAGAAGTCACATCAGAGCATGCCATTACTCTGATAATAAATAAAAGAATTATTCCTTTATCCAAATACTGTATGGGAAGCAATTTTATTTAGTAACTTCTTTCCAACACCATCATTTGGTCTGATAATACAATAACACCTAAAGACAGACTCGGGCAAAAAGCCCATTTTCAGTTTCCATCAAGTGCCCCCTGACCAAAGCCCATCACCTCTCTGATAATAGCCAGCAACTTCAATACCTTTTTATCCCAAGTTGACACATTAACTATTCCCTATCACCATTCTTCTGTACTCTAAGCATTCTAGTCTTTATAAAAACTTTCTCAGTAGTAAACATATGGACCAATACCAAGAGATAATTTCATGGTAAAAATGCAGTTTTACTTCCTTAAGTGTTATATTTGCCTGGCATTTTTCTCAGACTACCACACAGCTGGAGGTAAAAAATATGGAGCTATAATTACTATTGTTTTATAAAGTTTGGATATTAGTTCTCTGTATTTTACTTATGATACTGTTTACTGAAATGGCAACCAAAACAATTAACAGCAACTTAAAAACTGCAAAATTCAGGAGGAATAAAATTCTAGGGGAATAAATAAATAAACATACATGTATAGTCCACACAAGCAGGTAACAATCATGCAGTTCCAAGAGACTTCTTCACAAACAGAACTCCACTAACACTCCTATTGTACTGAAGCCAGGACCACAGATTTTTCTCAATAGAAGCCTCAGGATGATCTTTCTTCTACTTTAGCTCAGATATTTTTCCTCTTTTAAAGCCCCCTTTTCACCAAACCAACAAGATCATGTACCTTAACTATTTCTGCTGACTGAAGCACAGTGATTAAGGCCTTGCAGGTATCTGAAGTGTTTACCAGCACAGACCAGCAAACAAGGACCCTGCCAATCCCCCCTGGGGAAGTTCAGGTGAGACTCTTGTGCCCCCAGAGCAGAACAGCCCAACCCACCTTTCAGCTACAACTGCTGTGGTTTGAACTGGGCTGAAGGAGAAGGAGCAGGGACTGAGCATGGAAAGGTCAGAGGGGGAACCCAAGGGAGAACAACACACTTCCCAATTATTTTCTGGTTTTCCCCCCTGAACTCTGCTAGTTCACTTCTGTTGCATTACTGTGGTTTTATAAAGAAAACACACCGAAATGTTTCACTTAACATTTCCTAATAGGCAGGATTTCAGTAAATCAGCAGAACTATTGAGTGAAACAGCTACTGATGTGTTTGTTACCAGAACACCACCCAACCAAAATCAGTTCTAAATCAAAGTGTTACAGGATCTAGTAAAAATCAGTACTTTTCAAAGAGAAACTAAGCACTGCTTGTGCAGCTCAATCTGAACTAGAATTTGGAACAGTGGATAACACAATATAAGCAAAGCACTATTTCTTGTTTCCCAGCAAGTAAAAACATCCAACAGAACAGTTTCAGGTAAAAACATACACATTTCAGTCAACTATAAGTTAATTTAAGTTATAAGCAAGAACCTCCTGTTGCACAATTCTAGTTAAAAAACCAAACAACAAAACCCCAAAACAACCTGAAAATAATTTCTTAAAATTTGACTCTGACTTACTTTAAAATAAGCAAAAAACTCATTTTGGTAACTTTTGTAAGACAAAGTAAACAGTAACTTCAAATTTTAAAAAAATAAATAAATCTGATCATTACCTGTCCTAAGCACCTGAAGTTGTAGGTTATGGATTCAGTTTTAAGAAAAAGTTATATTGTAGCATTAAAACTCACGGCAAGAACATGAAACAATGTCCAAGAAAGCCAAGAATGCCATATATAGCTTCTTTATTTAATAAAAATATGCAAATTCTGTTGATCAACAGATCACACAAGTATTACCTTCCTTGGATAGAAAAACCAAGTTTAAATTAGAATTGTCTGCACAATAATCACATTCTGTTGCATATTTGTTGTATTTCAGTCCCACAGCAACTGTTTCCAAGCGATAAGAACTTTAGTGCTAAAATATTTCAAAGTAAGTGTTCAGGTTACCCAAAAACTCCCAAGTGTAACAAAGGATTTTCAGTGAAGGGGAAGTAACGGAGATTCTGCTAATAAATAATGTCCACTGCACTTGTCCCTCTGCAGTGTTTCCATGTTTCCAAGTCCACTGGCAGGCAGCTGTAACCCCTCACGTGACAGGAGTGACTGTTCTGCAATAGCAAAACCAAAGCCCATCTCTCAGGTGTATCCAGCTCAAAGCTCAAACCTTCTCAGAGCGTTCGCTGGAGTTTTTGTAAAATGCCATAAAGAGACCTCTTTATTTTGTCAGCTTTTAAAATAACTACAGAAATAACTACTGCATTCTTTCAGGACTAATTAAGAAAGCAAATAGTTTTGTATTTGGGATTTGTTCTTTTAAAACAAGTGGTCAGGGTACAGTTTAAAAGAAAATGTTTCACACTATTATGACTAAGCACCACTGATTACAAGAGCTCAGATGTTACACAGCTTTGTTTGGTTTCTAAAGAAGTTCTCCCCCAAACCAGAAAACAAATATGGGAGAATTAGTCAAGATTCTGCAGATAGTTCTCCACATCTGAGTACTCCCAGTATCAACACAAGTCACAAGCATAAAGCTACACACACCCTTCACATGGCAGAAAATCTCTCAGGTCTCAGAAATCAACTGTACACTGATGTAGCATTTCTTAAGTTCTTCAAAGGGAAAAGTTTTACACACCACGTGAAAAGAGCAGGTCACACACTACTATTTTTTGGACCTCTGCTACTCGGTGAACATTTTAGGATTACTTTTCAAAAACAGTTTTACCTTTTGATATTTGTTCGGGAGTTTCTGTGGGACATGTAAGTGAGAGTTCTGTGCAAAAATATTGGCTGCAGGGGGGAAAAAAAAGAAAAAGAAAAAGGTTAGGTTTTAATTGAAATTTCCTACAAACCCAAAGTAAAGGAGTGACAAAACCGATTACTCACTGCTATGAGATTCCGGGTACGGAGAAATCTGTATATCTGTGTTGGTTCTAAGAAAGAGGAACAGGTGTTATCCAACATAAAAATATCCTTGTAATGATAAAAAGTATCTAACTTAGCATGGTGATTATTTGGAAACAATTACCACAAAAAGTCATCCCAGAGTCCAAATAACTACAAGTTAACACGTCAAAGGTTACTTCACCTGCTCCACAACACCAAGCACTTCTCCTTTAAGCTGCCATAAATCAGGGTCACAACTCAACCCTGACTGTTCCTGCTCCCACAAAATGTGTTTCTTACAGGCTTTATATCCCGAGAGGGCAGGAAAAATACCTCTACATGCCACAGCCTATTGTCAAATAAATAGGTAAGTTTTCTTCATGAGGTTTAATGAACACATCTGATCCGACACCAAAGCAGCACAATAAATTGACACGGTCGGACAATGGGGGATCTGTTTTATCCTTCTGGGAAGTCCCAAGGTCACTTGCAGCAGGTACTGAGACAAGAACAGGGACTGACAGTTGACTGTGATCCAGTAGGGATCATTCTAAGCCGGGAAAGTCATGTTGATTCTGGTAAAGCAACTCGAAGTGCAAACAGAGGGAGGATAATAGAGCTGTACCCAACACCGACATGAAAGCACAGCAGCACCTCAAAGAGGTGTAAGAACCAAAGCTCAAAGGATCAAGACTTGCCTACAGGCAAGGGAACCCTCAGATTAGTTGCAACCGATTCAGTTAAATCAAGACAAAAAAGGTTTTGTCTGGATCAGGTTGTATCTAACAAGAATTCCAAACTAAACTGAAATACATTCTATTTATGCTGAAATAAAAGCCAGCCTCATTAAGGAACCTCAGCAAGAAACTTAGAAATGACTTGATAAAACACATCACGTGGAGAGAGAAGAGAGAATGAAGAACGTCTTGATGCCCACGCTGAGACTGCTAACACTGCCTCCATTTCCCACAGAAAGAAAACAAACTGTTTCTTTTTTAAGAAATATAAAATTTTATTTTCATATGACTGCAAAAAAATGTTTATTTCTTATAGCTGGAAACTCTACTGCACGGAATTCTGCAATTAGAAGTGGAAAAGGATAGCTTTTTATATCCTTCACCTCTTTTTAAAGATATGATTCCACCTGATTTCTCCAGTTATGAATATAAGACCCCACAGAATCCGTTATTAGAGAGATGTACTATTGCTAGACAAGAAAATCTTAAAACTATCACATGTCCTTTTAGAAGCCTGATGAAAAGCAGTAAAATTCTGCTTAATTCAAGTTATCATAATAAATCCGTGTTTTTCAAATCAAGATAAAAGACAGAAAGGAAAGAAATTAAGAAACATGCACTTTGCTACCAAGTGAAAACACAGAGTAGTCACAACTTCTAAAGAAACATCCCAGGATTTTAGTCTCAAAAAGCCCATGACATAACTATAATTTAGAAAGGTATGAAAACAATAAATTATATTGACAAGGATGCAATTTTATTTAAAGGCAATGCACTGCTGCTTCAACTTTAGCTTTCCCGAGCAGAAAAATTCTGAAACACACTTTTCAACCTGCAGAGAGACATATGTTTCACAAGTCCACATTACCCAGCAAAAGCTTAAAATAAACCTTTATCTTTTTCTAGCATATGACCTTGAAAAGGGACAAAATCAGCCAGGAGGAATGCGATTCAATACTCCACGTGTTGGGATTTTTTTTAATCCGGTGTTTACTTATTGCAGTTTTCCCATGATAGTCCCACTGCAGGGTTAACATTTTGTGGTACATCCCCACTTTCCTCCTGGTCCCACCTGCCCCGCTCTGAGCTTCCCCTGTCTGACGCACCGAGCCACGGGCAGGAGGATTTGTTTCCACCACGGGCATTGACACCGAGCAAACCCCTCGCAACTCGTTTGCCACTTGACCCATTTGCAGCACAGTATTAACTGAACACAGAGCGCTGTTAACACGACTGAGGCTCAGACAACCCTACATTATTCGAGACAACACCAAAAACTCCAGCTTTCTCCAACACTGTCACCGCCTCCAGCGAGAGAGAGCAGTGACAGCACCAATCCCAAACCAGGACCAAGTTTCTTAAGTAGGGCATTAAAAACTCCCTTCAAATCCTGAAAATCTCTCAGTACAAGGTAAGTTCGCTGTTCCACCGCGCTTTTAAACCAGATTTTCATCAACAACTTTCTGGTGCATTCAGGGGGGTTTTCCTCCTCTCCGGAGCTGCCACAGGGGGATGCCTGGGTCGCAAAGGTCAATTTCCACTACGAAACCTCAACTAAGGGACAATTATTGCCAGACAAAGAAAAACCCAAGTACAGTGAAGTCTGAACCGCATCCTGCCCCTCAAAGGGGCTCGAACGGCAGAGGCCAGAGAGGAACGAGCCCCTTCGCCCCTCAGTGCCCGGGGGCTGCCGGCGGAGGGAAGGGAACCCGAGCGCCTGATGGGAAGTGCTGCCGAGCACCAAGTTCATCGCTGGGCGCGGGCACACACCCCCCACCCCCGCCCTCCGCCCCGCGGGCCCTCCCGCACCCCGGCCCCGCTCCCCGCGCTTCCGCCCGGCCCCCGCCTCCCCCGGCCCCGCTCCGCGGGCCCCGCTCCCTCCCGCGGGCCGTGTTTACCCCCGGAAGCCCCCGCTGCCCGCAGCCCTCCCCTCCTCCTCCTCCCGCCCTTTCCGCGGCGGCCCGGGCCGGTCCCGCCGGCTCGGCCGCCGCTCCCCTGGCCGGCCCCCGGTGCTCACTCTCGAAGGCCTGAAGAAAGAGGTCGTGGTCGGCCTGGATCTGCTCCATCTTCGGCTTCTTCACGGGGGGCAGCGCCGCCGCCGCCGCCGCTGCCGCCGAGGAGGCCGAGGAGCCGCCCGAGTACCCACCGCCCCCGCCGCCGCCGCCGCCCGCGGCACCGCCGGATTTGCCGCCGGGAGCCGCCGCCGCGGCGGAGCCCCCGAACCCGCCGCCGCCGCCGCCGCCGCCTCCTCCTCCTCCTCCTCCTCCGGCGGCGCCGCCAGCGGAGCCCGAGCTGGGCCCCGCACCTCCACCGTGCTTCTGGGGAGCCATGGGGGTGGCCCCGGGCGGGCCCCGGCGGGACAGGGAGCGCGCGGGGCGGGCAGAGCCGGCCGGGGCGGGTGCGTGAGGCGGGGGGCGAGGGGGGGCCGCGCCGCGCTCCAACTCCGCCAAGTCTCCTCCGCCCCGCTCCCTCAGCGCCGCGGCCGCCGAGCCCGCACCGCGCCGCGCGCCCGCCCCCCGCGCGCGCCCCTTGGCCCCGGGGATGGCGCCGCGCGCTGCCATTGGCCGCCTCCGGCCCCGCCCCCCGGGTGACGCGCGGATGGTTCTGGAAGCGTTTGGTTGGTCCGCGCGCTCGGCGCGCGCCCCCTCCCCGGCCCCCCCCCCTCCGCGTCCACCCCCCGCCTTTGAACTGAATTCGCGGGAAAGCGCCGCTCGCGCTCCGCCGCGCGGGGCATGATGGGAACGGGGGGGCGCCGGAGGGCTGAGGGGGCGCTCGTCCGCCCCCCGCCCTCACACCCCGTCACAACCTCCTCACAGCGCCCTCATAGTCCCCCCCTCACCGCCGCTCCGCCCCAATGCCCCCGGGCTGCCACAACCACCGGGTCTCCGTGCCCCTGCTGCCGAGCTGTTCCGACTCTGGGCTCTCCATGTCCCCGGCTCTCCGTCTCTCGGACTCTCCGTGCCCCCTGTGCCTTACAGACCCCCCGCCCCCCGGCTCTCCGTGCCCCAAACTCCCTGGGCTCTCTGGCCCCCTTGTCACCGCCCAGTGGCCCCGCGGCCAGAAGGGTGCTGGTGCCCGTGCCCGCCTCGCCTCAGGGACCACTCAGCTGCCCCCAGGAGCTCCAGAGCTACATTTGTCAAAAAAGCTAAATTTTTTGAAATAGAAGTTCGGGTATAAACCGGTATCGGTACTGTGGTAGAAATGGTTATACTGGGTGGGCCATGAGGTCCTGCTGCTATCCCGCAGCTTTAACCTTATTTAACCGTGAGGTTCCCTCAGGGGAAGGCACGAGGAGCTGCCCACAGGTGCTGCGAGACTTGAAGTCTGAGGTAAAGCATTTCTGGGTTTATTCCCACCTTTCTCTGCTTGCTGAGGATGCACTGAATCCTCAGGGAAACCCAGGCTCAGCCCAGGGTCGGCCCTCGGGGCAGGATCTGGTGTGTGCGAAAACACCAGGGAGTCCAACTGTGCCACGGGGAAACTCAACCTCGGCTCTGTGTAATCAAGTCCTTAACAGAGACGTGGCAACTCGCACATAAAAGGCTTCGGCGGCCGTTCCGTTCTATTTGTGAAACTTCTCCAGAGCAGTTTTACAAGGCTGGGTAAGAATGGTCCATGTGTGAAATACAGCCTTGAATTCCGATACCAGACACAGCTGTGGTGCTGGCACTCCACCATCCCCACTGATCTTCTAATTTCTAGTGATAAGAAAAATGAACTCGATAAATATTCAGAAGAAAACCATATATCAAAGTCAGCCGTGCTGTAAATGTGCCTTACATTATCAACACGGGGATTCCAATGTGATGCCTCAATTGTCTGGTATTAACCTTATTATGTTTAAAGAAAATATATCTATATACATTTACCCCACAAGCATTCAGATAAACAAGTCTTTATTCACTATTCCCCTCTTTTTGCTTTTTCTGCTGCACCATTTATCTTTCATGTTTGTTCTGGAACAATATTTTCTTCCCTTATCTTTTTTCTTCCTTCCTTTCTCAGACATTGATGTTTTACCTGCAGGCTTTTCAGTATTTTGTTTCAACCTTAATTTTGTTACATGTTAGAAATTCATTGCTGTCACAACTTTACCTACATTGTATTTTTCTTCCCCCTAAACAAAAAGTGATATTTCTAAAATATTGTTACACATTTTATCCTGCTTGTCATGATTGTCTCTGCTTAGTATTCCAGTCTTTTTGTGTTCTATTCCTTATTCAATTTCTCTACAGTCACCTGTTGCTGAATATGTCTTTCATTACTGGAAGCAGCAATGTTTGAGGCACTGGCTGTTTCTGAGGACCTTACATGTAATTTCTTTGCTCATAATACCTGGGAATTTATGGTGACGCTTCTGATTCCATCCAGGCTGTTGGATTCAGGGGCCAGAGAGCAGCTGTACCCCAAATTATGGGCATCTTTAGTCATCAGAGGTTGAGCTTGAGCTCAGTGATACCCTGTTACAAGTGACAAAAGGTATCAATATTACATTATGTGTGAGAAAGGCTCCTGAATGCTATACAGCTGAAATTTTGTCCTTGGAAGTTGTTTGCTACCTAATTTATTCCTGTTTCCTCACAACTGTTTCCAAGTCTCTGCTGCTGCTGGTGGCTCATCCTTCTAAATTTTAAAACTGGGAGGAAGAGCCAGAGGGCAGCCTTCCAAGCAGGAGTAGGAGAAATAATTAAGCAATTAATGTCTGGCATTGGAGTTGGATCTGCCTGGGAACAGAGGAACCACGGCTGCGACTCCTGCCCGGAGCGGGACAGGACAGTGGCAGGACCTGAGCCCTCTGCAAGGGCAGGACTGGCTGACAAATAGTAGAGCTTTGTAGCTTGAGCCTGTTCCCCTTAGTTGTCCTTTCATGTCCCTTCCGACCCAAACCATTCTGTAATTCCATAATTCATCCTATATTTGGGGCTTCATAGAATGGATTGGTAGAAATAGCAAGTAACTTCTATTTATTTTGCACAGTTACAAACAAGAAAACAAAGGCTCCTTTTAAGAAAGATGGAGGTCATTATGGTTTCTTCAGAAGAAAAATGAGCTGTAGCACGAGACCGTTGTGTCCTTGACCTTCCTGGTAATATAGACCCCTATAGATTTTACAGATGCATTTATTAAAAAAATAAATAATTTAAACATTTGTCTTGTATACATATACATATATCAGGTAACAGAAAACTGGTCATATTTAGCCAATGACAAGGTACCTACAAAGCCAGTGAAAATGTGTTTTCAAATAAAGTGGTTTATAAAAGAAGCAGTGAGGCATAGTGTACCTTACTGAAATCGATAAAACTAAAGAGAATCTAAAAAAACCTAAAAAAGTTTAAGATTATGGTAGTGTATCTTTTCCCTATAAAGATAAATAATATCCTAACATAATGCAAAAAAAAATAATAAAAAAAAAAAAGAGCAGTTTAATAAGTTTAAGATGATAAATGGAAGAAACAATCAATTCCAAATCAGGAGCGCTGTTTGGAATAAACCCCTGAAATGAAAGCACAGGTAGGTGGTAGAGGTGCTTCTATATGTCAGATTTTATGTCTTGAGATGGCCAATCCATTCTTGTTTTCACATCCTGTTAGTGGGATTTGCATTTGATATCCAGAAGATCAGATTTGTTTCCTGCAGATTGGAAGCACATGCCACTTGTAAATCTCCTTTTCCTGTGGCTTTTCGCAGCCTGTGCGTGCCCAGCATTCCTGTCATCCTGAACAGCTGAACTGCAGCAATTTTTGCCTCTTCACACATATATGTAAAAGTACAGGTATATTTTAGAGCTTTGTGGATTTGGTTTTTTCATTTCATAGTTACCTGATTTTGTTGGTTGGCTGTAGTGCCCCTATAGCCACACTAAACTTTCCAGCTTGAGTCCTCCAAATTACTGTGTCTTGGAATATTTACAAAGTAAATCCTTATTTAAAGGGGAAATAAATACCTGTAAACTCAGAGCTCAGCCTAAATGAAGGTTTTGTCAATAGAACTATACTGTTTTCCTCCCATCTTTAAACATGGGTCTGTCCATAGTCTATAGAGATTGTTAGTAACTAACTAAACACTCCTACAGACCAGCTTATCTCCTGAGAATTTAATTTTACGTGTAACTTTGGAAGGAAAGAGTAATTCTCATTAGCTGAATGTAAACTTTTGGTCAGTCTTTTTAAAGCTTGGTTACAGATTGGGGCCATCATGAAAGCCAGAGTCAGGATTTATTAGGGAGCACTGTTATACCCCTTGGTAAGGCACTGGAGTTGGGGGTTCAGGAGCTGCTGAGAGTAACAAACCTCAGGGACTGTCCTGGGTCCCTGCATTTCTTTACCTTGACCTTGAGCTCACAAGCACGTTCCATTTGTGTGGTTACATCCACACTTTGCTTCTTGCTGTTTTCATGCTTCCAGGTTCTCCTCCTCACAATCTGTCCGGCCCCCAAAACCAGGTTTTCCATGAGAGAAGTGAGGAAGCAAAAATGCTCCAGAACTGAGAGAAACAAAAGCACTTCCTGCGTGGATGGGAAGGTCCCACAGCTGTGTCACTGTGCTCCAACCCCAGATCCAGTTCAGTGGCCCCCTCACACAAATAAACTTCACTGCACGCTGAGTTAACCTCGTCTGCAGTAGATACTAATTCATTCTTCAGTTCATATTCTATATTTTCAGTCTGATTTGATGTTAATCAACAATAATTGGCCATGGAAATTATTAGATAAGCTACTCTTCCCTACCTATTTGGAAAACAAAAGTCAACTCCCACTTATTGTTTTCCCAGCCTCTTGTAAAGAGAGGCTACACAATATTGCAGCTGGAGAAAGGGAGCAGCTCCAGATCTGTGGATATGAAAATTTCCAGATTTGTGGATAACAGCACAGCAGGAGGCAGGGGGAATGCTGGGTGTATTTGGGATGGCAGGATCATGTTGCTGTTGGGGTGGAAGCTCTCAGTTTCAGTTTGGTTTTCTGCATGTTAACGTACAGAGCTGCCCTGTTTTCATAAGCAGGGAACTGAGAAAAGAGAAAATAAACTTTGCTGTAAGGGAAGCCCTGTGCTGGAGCCCGGGGAAGGGAAGAGCACAGATCCTACACAGCAATCCAAGTGTTCCCAAGTATTCCCATGAATGCTGGGGGGGGGAGATTGACAGAGCAGCCACTTGTGATTCTCATTCATGTGTTTGCCAGGCACTGCTTTTGTACAGAGCTGTTCAAATGTATTCCAGGAGCACAGCACTCCAGGACCGTGGCCCTCAGGGAATCTTAATGCCCCCACAATGCACAGCTTTCAGCCACAGGTTCCTTACATGTCTTGAGTTATTGCAGAGAGTGGAGAGGGAATGCACAGGATGTTTTGCACCACGGAATCACCTGTCTCCTGCATTCCCACGGGGAACAATCAGTGATTAAAGTTATTAGTCAGCATTGCTGAGTAGAAATGTATGCTCAGGACTTGTCTCTTGGAGTTCTCTTGGTGATGTTTTAACATACTCTTCATGATTCTTCTACAGTGAAATTTATTTCCTGCCTTTCATTTAATTTCTTTCTGTTTAGTGGCTTTTTAGCAGTATCTTTGTCTTTAGAGTCTAGGTAGTGGACTAAAAATACCAGAATTGTTTCAAAAGCATTGTGAAGAGCCTGGGCCCAGTAATTTGCTCTAGAAAGGTAGGACATCTCCTAAGATGATTAAACTGTAAGGCTAGAAATGGACTAAATACACAGAAAAAAACCCCAAGTCAAATCTTGAAGTTTAAATATTTAATACATTGAAATGGAACAGGAATCCTGCTGGTTCATGCTGCAGTTTCAGAGATGCAGCATGTATGGTACTTCCTGCAAAACTATCAGAAAACTATCAAAAATTCAAAAAATCATTCTAAGTGAACTTCAGGAGTTTGTGCTCTTGCAAGTGAATCCCGGAAACTGTGGAAGATACGGCAACTGAAAAACTTCTGATGCAAACTTAATGATTAAACTCAGAAATGCAGAGATCAAAGAGGAACTGCTGGGGAGATGTGAGAATTCAGTCAGTTACAGATGTAAATAGAAGTTTCTCAACAAAAGGTCTGTTGACAGTGCAAGAATGAAATCTTCAATCACTCAAAACGAGAAATATGGGAGGATCAAAGAGCATGTCAATAGATAGTAAAACAAAACCTCAAGTGAATTAGTTAACTAATTAATTTCAGCTTTAAGTAAAGGATAAGTTTTAACAGGGACCCATTCTTTCTTTTGTGGCTTAACTAAGTATAGATTAATAAAGTGAGAATTGGGAATTTTATCATCAGCACTTACTTAAAGGATAAGATCAGGGCAGAAACTGCTTTTCCAGTGTTTCCCAGTTAGCACAGACATATACAATTCACACAGCAGAGCTTATCTAAGTGTTTCATATGAAAGTTAACACGTTATCTGGGGTTTCGTATGCCAGAGGTTGCTTCAGAAGGCTTTTACAAGAGTTTATCTTGTGTTTGGAATGCTGCTTGGGAGGATGTGATTCTGCACACTGTGACCTGAATTATCCATACTCCAGAAGTAGTTTTACTGGTTGTTGCCATGACTGAGGTCGCTTATCCCACACTAAACACATCTCCACAGAAGGAGGTGAGAAACAGCAGGAGGCAAACTGTGACCAATCCTAATCCCGGTTTTTGGAAGGAAAAATAAATCCATATGTGGCTTACTTTATGCTCTTTGTCATGGCAGTGTAATTGATGCTGGTGCCAACATCTCTGTGTTTAAAAAATACAAAGCTTTGCTCTGAGGAAGTTCTGTCTTTACCTGCCTTGTTCCTTATGACATAGTTGGGTCACCCAAGGCCACGCCACCATTTCACCTCCCCTTCAAACCCAGACAGCTTAGTGAGGTAAATTAAGATTACTATGACTCTGCTCTCCAGACCTCTGGCAACAATCCTAAGCACAAGTGTACAGGCAAGAAATAACATTAAATTAAAGATAATTAAGCAATACATTTCATGGTGCTGACAATTTGGGAGTATGTAGGGCAGATGACTGATACAGTTTTAAATTGTTGAAATGTGACTGGCATTCCTCTGGGTTATGAATTGGCCACTAGGATACGATGAGTGACTGGTTGTAACTGCCCTGCTGCACTTACACAGCCTGTCAAGTGCTCACCAACCAGCCAAATGACAAAATCAAATTAAAAGGCTCATAGCCACTACTGTACAAGCCCCTGGAGACCCTGAATAAACAGATGGATCTTGTGCTGAGGACCAGATGTGAACTGGCAAGGAAACAATTCCAGAGGCATCATTCCCCTTCGCTGCAAATTCCCCGTGTAGAGATGTTCAGATCTTGGGGCGACGGAGAAGAAACAGGATGCTCAAAATGAGTAGGAGGAAAAGTCTGAATCAGAAAAATTCAAGCTCAGAGCCAATGCAGAAGTAAAGGTCTTGCCTTTGTAAAGAGATGATATGTAAGATTAAATGATCAGATAATAGTTCTGATAAGGCATTAAATGGAAATGTTTATGTTTGTTGTGGGTTTTTTTTAACCACTAATAGTTGAAAAAGAGGTGAGTGAATGAAATTCCAGGAGGCATTCAGATCTAATGCTGCAGGGTAAGTGCCTGCAAGCTGCAAGAGTAAAGCAATGCATTGACAAAGACAAGCATTTTCTATCAGAATGGAAAAAAAATAACATGTCCAGGACGTGGACCAGGGTTAATGATGGTATGGAACAGTCCAACTGACCGACTGCATGGTCTTAAATCTGAATTTTTGGAGGATCAAGTGGAATTGCAGTGATGAAACCACTATTTATGCAGATTGACTGCTGGTTTTGGCAGAGGTGAAACCAAATCATCACAGAAATTGTTATAATTACAAAACTAGGGAGGTTAATGTAGTCCAAGGTTTGGGTTAGTATATTTTTGGGAGTAAATTCCAAACTGCTTTATTAACAGATGTGCTCATATATTTTCAAACCAAAGTCCCACGTGCCCAGTAAATGCTTCGAGGGCTTTGTTAAAAACGTGTCCTGAAGGGATGAACCACTGGCTCAGCTGAAGTCAGTGGAAGCTTCCCAATTATTTTCATGAGGTCAGAACATCACTCTCATTGTTTAAAAGGCATCTTCATAAAGTGCATTATGACAATTATATACAAGTTAATTGTAAAATACTGTACATCTGGAGGAGTCTTCTAAAAAGCTGTAATTGTTTATGCACTCAGGTAGTAAAATGGCAGAAATAAATAAGATACATCTCAATTTGTAATTTAAATATTTGCCTTATGCACGTTGACCATCGTGCATTTAAACACAGACAAGACTTAAATCAAAACCACTGTGATTAATTCCTAATTCACAACGTACCCACTGCTTGCAGACATAATCTATAAATATTAAGCTGTGACAGCTTGCCAGAACTTCTCCTGCAAGGACCTGCTGATGGAGTTTTTCTAAAGAGCCTTCATAAAAGCAGCAAACTGCGTGACCCTACAGGTGCCAGCTGCAGCAGTTGTTTCCCCAGCTCTCCCAATAAGATTTGTTGAAACTCTCTGTATCACAACGTCTTTATCGGTAATGGATCCCTCCCTTAATTTGCACTGATGCATTTGGAATGTCAGCTTCCAAAACAAGGCACATGGGAGGCATTTAAAGTAGATTTTATGAAAGGGAAATGAACAAAGAGCATGTCAGGTTCCATTTTGATTTGCATGACAAACCCAGCACGCAGTGTTCTGGTGGGTCGGGCTGGGCTCGCCTGCCACTCACGGCGTTTGTCACTTTGCTATGAGCACTTCTGACAGTCCGTTATGTTAATTGTTCTAAGGATTGTTTTCCTGGGGGAAGAAAGGGAAAGGCATTTTCAGTTTTGTTCTCCTTCCATCTACAGGAAAGGAGGGATATCTGAAGGAACGGAAAATGTTTTCAAGCGGGTTTTGATCTATTTTTTTTGGTAAATAATCCTGCGAGGTCATCAACAAAGTTCAGTATTTTAAATCTTATTGTTACTCGCTCTGTGTGTTTTTGAGTGGGAAGTACTAGGCCCCTAAACTAGAAACTTGGGGAGTCTATTGTTTTGGTGCACACCACTCTTTGATCCTTTGAGTCCCACAGTGCTGGGTCCTGCAGAGTGGTTTGTGCTGTGCCTATGTGCTGCTGTGGGATGATATTGTGGTGCTTTGACAAGCGCTAGCAAGAAATTTAATGCCCTCTGAGGGCTTGTGGGACACCCATTGTTCTTGGTATGTGGGGAACTCCCATGTGTCAGACCTGTTGGGGGATCTGTGCCTGGGCTGAATTCGGGAGGCACAATTCAAGGTAGAGGTTGCTGTGGCCCCTGAGGGTGCACACACTTCTCTACCACCTAAAACAGTCAGGGATTGTTTGGTGGTGGGTTTTGAGTTTCAGAGTTCCTGACTGACTGCAGGTTGATCACAGAAGAAGATTTTCAGACTGGCAGAATGAGCAGCCATAAAGTTTCAGAAGGCTGTTGTTTATGTTGGTGTCTCTCTTCCGCAGTTACTGCTGATTTGCAGCCCAAGCAGAGCTTAGTGGCTGAAGAGTGAGGAGAGCAAGAAGATAGAAATAGAATTTTCCAGAGGTTTACAGGTAATGACTGACATTTACCTTTTAAGTTCTGAACTCCTACACTGCATGTGGTGTTCTCATTTACGTGTTGTGATCTAAGTGCACCATGACAGATTAGCTCTAAATACAGAATGCTTTTATAGTATAAAATCATGCCATCAGATGCAGAGATACTCAAATGAAGTTAATCCAGTGTAGTAATTCCAATCACATTCTTGCTCAGTGATTCAGTGTGCTAATGCTGCTTTTCCTCCCCAGTGTTGTCCTCCTTAAGGGGTGTTTTATTGAACTCTTTGGATCTGTACAAGAATCAGTTTGAGCTGGTACATCTCAAAATGTCAACCCCAGTATAATTAATAACTTACTGTTGATTATGAATAACATTCTTTCACCAACACTTTGAGCAGGATTGTTGTGCTGATTTACTGAAAGCTGAACTCCATGGGAGGTGAACTCACTGAAATGTAGGTCCCAAGAGCCTGAAGGCTTTGGCTCACTGGTGGGGGTGGCTGTGCTGGGACAGCTGTGCTGACCCTGCTCTGACCCAGAGCCTTTGGCAGCTGAGTAGGACAAGGGAGTCTCCAGGGGGGACATTCTCCATCAGGAACTTGTTCCTGTGGGGTAAGGGGTCCCTTGGCACGAGACAGCTGCAGTGCAGAGCTGCCTCAGCCACCAAGCCCCGAATGCAGCACCAGTCTGTAGTTCTTGGTCTCGTGACTGGATGGTGCTTCTCCATTTCCTGGTAGCTTTTCTGTTTGGTCACTTCTTGGAAAATCATGTCACTATTTCCTGTCAGAAAGAAAAGTTGCTGAACCTCTCCCACTAAGGATTCATTTGTTTTTTGTTTTTTTTTTTAATTGGTGCCCAATATTGAGAAAAACCACCACAAGTCCAAGTCACAGCAGGTGAAAAAACTACCACTGTTCTTGACAGTTCTCGCAAAGTGCTTTGTCTTATGTGTGTTTTTAACAAAGTCACTTGCTCAAGTTCTTGCTCTGTACTTGGCAACACCTGTTAAACATTTTGACTGTAATAAAAAGGAAAAATTACCCCCAGGTTTTTTTAGCTATTATATATGAAAAATGCTGTGCCAGAAGCCCTCTTGCCCTTAGTCCTTGTATGTGGTTTTTCAGAGACAAGCTCCTGCCTTTCCTCCGGGAGGGAGCGATGGCTGAGACAGGGCAGAGGTTTGGAGGTGGGGCTGGTTCCATCTCTGACCAGCTCAGTGCCAGCAGTGACAACTCAATGCACAAGCAGCAGGTGCTGTGGATAATATGCATTTAAAGCAACCCTCAATAAATTGTCTCCCATCTCACTTTTTTTCATTTCCTGGGGTGTTCCTCATTTAAGAAACTGAAATTTCCTGTTGCCTGGGGTTTTTTTTTTAATTTTCTCAGAATCATAGACTCATAGAATGGCTTGGTTTGGAAGGGACCTTAAAGTTCATCTCATTCCAACCCCTGCCATGGGCAGAGGCACGTTCCACTATCCCAGGTTGCTCCAAGCCCCATCCAACCTGGCCTGGAACAATTCCAGGGATGGGGCAGCCACAGCTTCTCTGGGCAATCTGTGCCAGTGCCTCACCACCCTCCCAATCAAGAATTTTTTCCTAAAAGTTTGGAAGGTGGAAAGAAGGAAGGTGCCATGTGGGAAGGGAAGAGCCATTTGTCCTGGAGGAATCCCAGCACAGTCTCTTTTCACAGGAGAGAAGCTCCAGACCCCTCATCATCTTTATGACCTCTGATGGACCCTCTCCAGTAGCTCCTCAGCTTTCTTGTACCGAGGAGCCCAGAACTGGACCCAGCACTCCAGATGTGGCCTCATCAGGGCCGAGCAGAGGGGGAGCATCACCTCCCTCAACCTGCTGGCCACACTCCTCCCTCACCGGATTCCAGCTTGAGCCCTCACCGGGGCGCTTGTGCTTTGTCTCTGCACGTCCCAGGCTTGGCTGTGCCATTTCTCCTCCTGTGGGAGCTGGGCTTGTTTAGTCTGGAGAAGAGAAGACTGAGAGGGGATCTCATCAATGCATATAAATATATCCAAGTCAGGTGTCAGAGGATGGTGCCAGACTCTTTTCCGTGATACCCAGCAACAAGACGAGGAACAATGACCATAAAGAAGTCTCACCTCAGCGTGAAGACAAACTTCTTCCCATGGAGGGTGGCAGAGCCCTGGAACAGCTGCCTAGGGCGGGTGTGGACTCTCCCTCTGTGGAGACATTCCAAACTCACCTGCTCCAGGCGACCCTGCCCCGGCAGGGGGGCGGGACTGGGTGATCTGCAGGAGTCGCTCCCAACCCGAAGGATTCTCTGTGACTCCGGTGCTGCGCGGCCCCTCCAGCCGGGCAGGGGGCGGCAGAGCGGCCGCGGGGCGGGGCGGGCGGAAGCGGCGGCGCCTCGGGCCGGGCCGGGTCTGTGCCGGGTCTGTGTGGGGTCTGTGTGGGTACTCTCCGGAGCGCCGCGGCCATGGCGGAGCGCATCGAGCAGCGGCTGGAGGACCGAGTGCCGGAGCTGGAGCAGCTGGAGCGGGTCGGGCTGTTCACTCGCGCGGAGATCCGGTGAGCGGGGCCGGGGCCGGGCGGGCGCACGTGGCGAGTGGCGCTCCCATCGCTCCCATCGCTCCCATCGCTCACGTCCCGATCCCCGCAGGGCCGTCCTGAGGAAAGCCTCGGCTCTGGAGTACAAAATACAGCGGAGAGCGCTGCGGAAGGAGGATTTCATTAATTACATCCAGGTAGGCTTTACCGAGCAGCAGAGCGGGCCGTCCCTCGCTGCAGATCCAGCTCAGAACTGAGTAGTTCTGTCGTGCCCTAAGTGCCCTCACCTCGCCTGGTCCCTGGTGTCCACTGAGGGCGGCTCGTTGGCAGCAGAGCAGGAAGCATAGCCAGGAGTTGGTGCCTGAGGTTGGGATGAGGCGTCTCTCCCTTGTGACCTTCTCCTGTGGTTTCTTGTCTCTCCAGGGATGTGGAGCCCCCAGTTCCCTGATACACTGTGCAAATTGTAGTTAAGTGGAATTAATAAGTTGGAGATTAGGAAAAAGCTTCTAAAAGGGTGGTTGGGCACTGAACAGGCTGCCCAGGGCAGTGGTGACGGCCCCAAGGCTGCCAGAGCTCCAGGAGGGTTTGGACGATGCTCTCAGGGACAGGGTGGGATTGTTGGGGTGTCCTGGGCAGGGCCAGGAGTTGGACTTCGATGATTCTTGTGGGTCTCTTCCAACTCTGGATATTTTACGGTGCTAATTTTTTTGTGGCTAAACAAACTTCTAATTACAAGTTTGGCTTGTGCATCACAATTCTAGGAATATGGGTTGCCAACAGCTCAAGTCTGAAATGTCACATGCAGTAGAAATCTTTAATATTAATTTCATCCAGTCTTAGAAATACCCAGTCAAAAAATTATTGCTTAGGTTTTCCTGTTTGTAATTTTTATTGTCCACCTGTCCATCAGCTCTAACAAACTTTATCTGGATTTTTTTTCCTTGTTGTTGGATGTCTCTTCATTTGGTTTTAAATGTTATTTTTCTTTCCATTCTAGTATGAAATTAATCTGCTGGAACTGATCAAGAAAAGACGAGCAGTAAGTCTGTCAGTTATTAGGAGTGCAAAATACTTTATGCAAAATACATTTTCTATTGCAATAAAATTAATATTTTTTTCCTCCCAGCGCATTGGATACTCGTTTAAGAAGGAGGAAATCGAGCACTCTATTCTGCACCGAGTGCACAGCCTGTTCAACAGAGCTACAGGAAAATGGAAAGTAAGTTTATTTGAGTTTTTGTTGTTTTTTTTTCTGCATGCCAGGTTGCTGTACCAAGGGTTTGTTGTTTGCTTGTCAATGTACAAGTGATTTTGTACCTTGTGAAGTTGATTCTCTTCCTTTTTTCATTTCCAACAGGATGATGTCCAGCTCTGGCTTTCACATGTTGCATTTTGCAAGCAGTGGGTGAGTTTTCAAACACTTGATCTTACCTGAGCTGAGATAGTGGACTGGTGTTTATTCAGGCATCTGGAACTTGAATTCAAGATAGGGGTACAAACTTTACTGCCACATGCTGTAATACTGAAATAATTTTGATAATATTGTTGGATCTGCCTGGGATTTTCACTGATGTGTGTGTTCCATTCAGTACCAGAGTGGGTAAAACAAAACTGCTTCTTTTACAGAATGCAAAACATCAGCTCAGTAAGGTGTTTTCTACCATGTTGGCCATTCATTCCAATAAACCAGGTAAGTAAAACAGTGGTGAGTGTTGCATAAATACCTCAGTGTCGACTGTGTGGTGTTGGTTAAAGTTCTTGTAGATCTCAGTTCAAGCTATTGGGGTGAAGGTCCCCACTGTCTTGTCTTTGCCTTGCTGCTGCTTCAGAGAGATGGGCTCTGACAGGGCTCTGCTGAGTAAGCTGATGGGAAGTAGGTCTGAATGACCATTTCCCAGTCAGACTGGGGACTAAGTAGCTATATCAGAGGTGGGAGATGCTGAATGCTCAAAGACCTGCTTTCTGGCTTTGGAAGACATCATTAGCTCTGTAGCTAAACCAGATTAAACTCCCTGGATCTGCCTAGCTGCTTAGATCTGTCCTTCAGCTTGGTTTTACATGGGAGATAATCAGTTTTGTTCCAATGCTGAGCTCATTCTGGGAGATTAAATTAATGAATTTGTATCACCTTTTGCAGCACTGTGGATTATGGCAGCAAAGTGGGAAATGGAGACACGACTCTCATCAGAAAGTGCCAGGCACTTGTTCCTTCGTGCTTTGCGCTTCCATCCAGAGTGCCCAAAACTTTATCAAGAGGTGAGATCCTGGTTTTCTTCTACAACCAGTTATTTGATCCATCAGAGCAAATCAGTTCAGCATATGTCTCAGGAAAAGAACTTGCTTCCCCCTCAGCAGGAAAATGTCAAAAATATTAAAAAAAACATCCCAAAATTCCATTCTAAGGTGCTGTTAAACCCTGCTTGGACATATTTCTCAGGGTTAGTCTGGCATCCCCAGCCTTTGTTGGAGAAGTTTGTTTTCTTTGAGGGCAAGTTAAGGTTTAAATAATGACTAAGAAATGATCATTGCTACATGTGGGAAATGTCTGGATAAATACTAGGGCATATAGTTATGTGCACAAGCTTTTAAAAACCAAGGCTCTTGGACGTGGGTGGGATGTGGGAAAGCCCTGATTTGTAGCTCCTCAGAGCTTGTTTTACCTCATTTGTAGACTTAGACTTTTATGACTTAACCCCCACAGCCATTTCATTGTGTTGTCACTCTTGCAGTATTTCAGGATGGAGCTGATGCACGCTGAGAAACAGAGGAAGGAGAAGAAAGAATTTGAAAAAGCAAAGATGGACTTGGTAGGTCAGCTGAACTTACTTAGGAGAGATTGTCTGCTTGTGTATTACCCATCTGAGTGCACAGTTTCATGGGGTCTGGATTAATGGTTTGTTTGACAACTGCTTAGAGAAAGTTTTTGTTCATGTGCTGTGCCTGTGGGAGCTCTTCAAGTGTTTGCTGATGCTCAGCTCAAATACTTCATACACTGATTTTTGTTTGCAATTGTAAAATCTTTTTATTACATTCCCCAGTCTGAAAATTAATAGTGATTTCTGAAAAGGAGTAGTTAAACTTACTATCTTTCATTTCTTTATAGTTGACTTGTGCAAATGACATAAAAATAGACTTAGATGAAGGAAAACATTGATATTTTCTGATTTTTTTTTCCCTGTTGGCAAAAATGATAGCTGAGAAAGGAAAATAATGTTTTCAACGATATGCTTGATATTGCAGGGGGAATTCAGTTACTCTGAAGAGATTCTCAATGGGGAAATGGCTCGAATAGTCTACAGGGATGCAACTCAGAAAATTAAAGGTGATTTAATATTTCTTGTACTTATGCAATAAGAAAATTGTCACCTTTAACCCAGCTCTGCAGTAGGTAATACTGACAAACTTAGCTCCAATGCACACAACTAAGATACCTTTTCAAATACACCATTTCTTCAGTAGAACCTGCATAATGCCAGAGAAAAAAACTAATAGTGCTCGTAGTTCTGATTTCATGTCTTCCCTGCAGGCTGACACCTCTTCCAGCACAGCAGCTTTTGGGCTGAAGTGACAGTGCTGGGCTTCCAGTCCCAAAACTTGATTGTTTAAAAAAAAAAAGCAACAAACCAAAAATGCAAAGTGTGCACCTGATGTGATATATCGAGGAATTCTTTAACAAATACTCCGTTTGATAGGGTTTTTGTCTCTTGAAATGTAGGTGTTGAGTTCCAGCTGGCTGTGCTCTCCATTGCAAAGCTCTTTGACTTCACCCAAGATTTGCAAAAAGAAATCCTTGAAAAGTGAGTTGTGGCTTTGTGTTGGGTTTTTATTTTGTTCTAGTTTAGGTTTTAAGAACCATGTTCTCATAACTTCTCTAATTAACATTAAGGAATTAGTGTTCGGATGAGGCAAGCGTGTTCTTTAGAAAAGGATGCTCGTATCTAACTTCAGAAAGGGCTTTAAAAAGCTGCTCAGAAAAATTTAGGTATAAAATCGTTGTCACTGAATAATTACTGCACTTAGTTTCTGTAAATTCAGTGCAGGAACTGTGGGTTTTCCTTGTGTATTTTTGTGGCATTTTTTGCATCTTTTATTTCTTTAGCTGTTCCTCTTGAAAGAAAGATTTCTCTTGACAGTTTCCTGCCTAGTTCATGTTATTTCTGGAGAATATCCATATTAAATATTGAAAAAAAAAAGCTAATATTTTGTCTTTCTCCTGTAGAAAGTAAAATATTTTTTTCTCTGGCATTTGGTTACTTAGCAAGTAAGTGTATATATATACTTACATAATATAACAACCAAACAAATACCACAGCTTATATAACAACCCTTCTAAACATACCTGGGGCTGCAGGATGGTGGCTGTGGGCTGTTACAGACATGCTGTGTTCAGTTTGCAGGCCAATTATGCTGATGATCCCCTGACCTGGGACTACATGGCCCGTCGTGAGCTGGATTTGGGGTCCCTGAAGGCCCCAGGACACCCCACAAAGCAGAGCAAAGTGGCAGAAATGGCCCGGAGGGAGGAACGGTGCTGTGCAGTCTTCGATGAGGCTGTGGGAGCTCTGCCAACAGGTGAACTGCCCTGCCTGCCTTTAACAGCTGTTCCTGGTACTTGAGAGTCTTGAAGGTGATGGCAGGCTCTGCCATACCTGGGAGAAGGAGAGCAGTTTTTACAAGGTGCCTTT